GCAAGATTTAAAGAAAAAGTACAAAATAATCGGATTAGTGTCTTGTGAACAGTGGGATTGTCATCACCATGGCGAAACTTGTGTTCAATAAATTTAGTGGAAAGTTGATCATGTCAGATTTAAGATATTTACTGCTCAGTCTTATGTTTCCTGAAAGTAAAACCAACACAATCTGTCAGCAGCCACAGTCCACACGATTTAATTTTACATTGCATAGAAATGAACACTAAAAACAGCCATCCCGGCTAGCAATTGAATCATCAGTCTTCATGAGTGATGTAACTGGTATTTCCATCTACCGGTATTTACTTAGTGGTCTGAGAGTGAATATTGTCAAGTTCGAAAGAGTTTCTTTACGTACGGCAACATGAACCTTATTGGTACAACACGTTGAACAGGAAGTCCATTCTGGCCCAGTACCATTGTCAAATTTTAGAGAGTAGAGGACTATTTATACAGGAGACGTTCCAGCAGGGAATTGCTAAAATTGTTCGATTGGCATATCAAAATCCTTTATTGGAACAGAACATGAAAAAAGGTTGAGGCCAAAAACAACCGACTTTTGCCCATTGTTATGCTAATTAAACCGCCATGATTAACAGTTCGTTGGGATAGCTACATAAATTGTGACCAAAACGTTATCGACAAGATTGCAGGGACAGTGACGACCCCCAAAACGTAATTGAAGGCAAATAAACACATGAAGCAGAAAAAAATAGTTTCAAATTGTAAGTACGGGACTTAACCATTGTTTACTCATGAGAGGAACTGAAATTACTCACTTTTGAAGGTGTCATAATAAGTGACATGGAAACCATGTTTATGCTATGAAAAAGTGAAGACCTTGAACGTACTTAAGTGAAAAGTCATTTTTTTGCCTCTAGGTCCATGTGCTCTAAGTTAGAATTCACATACCTAAACAAACGTCCCTCAGCAAATGATTTTAATTGTCAAAATTGCGAAATCATCATGCATTCTGTACAAGATGACAAAGCTGAAACATCTAAGAACCAACACTTACTAAAAATTATATCTCAAAAGTAAATAATCGTGGTATATTTTAAGTCTAACCGAATAGAGTGAAAATTTGTTACAACTCTAAATATCCAAACATATTTTAGTATAAGGTAGTAATCAATGACATCTAAAGTCAAAATACATCAATACCATCCAAAGTAAGGCTTCTTTAAGACGCAAGAAACACAGCTGTATTAAGCTTTGATGTCACTAGAGTTTACTGTCCATTAATATATAATTTTATATTTACCAGAGAGATTCAGAGTTATGGTATTGTAGTGCCATCAAAAAAATGCTGAGACTCAACAGATATAAAAGTATGTGTCAAGGTTTTCTATGCCTATGTACTATACGTATTCGATAATGGTCATCTTTGATGAAGTAAGAGTATCTCAACACCATACAAGGGTATCTCAATGCCATATAAAGATATCTCAATGCCATTTAAGGACATCTCAATGCTATACATTGTATAAGGGTATCTCAATGCCATATAAGGATATCTCAATGCCATACAAGGATATCTCAATTCATATAAGGGTATCTCAATGCTATATAAGGATATCTAAATGCCATATAAGGATATCTCAATGCCATATAAGAACACCTCAACACCATACAAGGGTATCTCAATGCCATATAAAGATATCTCAATGCCATTTAAGGACATCTCAATGCCATATAAAGGTATCTCAATGCCATATAAGGATATCTCAATGTCATATAAAGGTATCT